TATGGAGGGGAGCTCGAAACTGATCTGGCAGTTTTCCATACTAGAAAGGCCGAAGTGGCACGTGATCAGGACGACCAATCAGAGCCATTACGGAAATAAAAAAGTCAGTGAGTTTGTTCTTTTTCACTTCCGTTTTAGATAGCCTGGAACACCCTATTGATGGGCTGAGCGATTAGCGAAGCCCATAACTCCACTGACCGGAAAAGTTTCATTCTGTTTGTCTGTTTGTATGTCTGTCCGCACGATAACTCGAGAATGAATTGAGAGAGCGATTTGGGAATTTAAGGGTCGTTTTGTATCATAAAAAGACAGATCGAGTTCGAATATGAGCATTCTAGCTCAAAAATTGGCTTTTTAAAAAATCAAAAACTACAGGTCGCAAAATGTATTTTTATCAAATATTTTTTTATGCGTTCCTAAGGGGTAAACCGTCAAAGTAGAGCCCTTTGATCGAAAATTTCGTCCGTTTGGCTCTTTCTTGTACATTTTAGGTGCTAGGGGGCATTTCTTGACAAATATGAGGAGAAAATGATCAAATGGTCGATTAAATCGTTAACAAAAAGACTTCATTTCGAGAACTTGTATATACACTCCTATAACCCCGTCTGGGGTGTCAGCGCCGCAGGCCTAGCTATATGTGTGCTAGGCGCGTCGCAGCGTAACAGTGTTTCGTGAGATATCGCGAAGCCTGTTACGCGAGACGTGGTCTGGCGTACATATAGCTAGTTTTAACATTACAATCTGTCAAAATTCGAACCTTTAATGAAAACCGTTAGCGAACAGCAGAAAATTCATCCCCCTAATTTGAGAGTAATTAGTCACCGACAAATGCTGTGCGTATGTCACATTTTGGTGCCGGAAGGCCCTGTGCCCTTTGTCAGCGCCGCAGCTGCGAGGCCTAGCTATATGTCCGCCAGGCGCGTCGCAGCGTAACAGTGTTTCGTGAGATATCGCGCAGCGTGTTACGCGAGATGTGGTCTGGTGTACATATAGCTAGTACCTGTTGTCCCATTTTAGCCCGCTCTTTTGCTTAAAAGCTATATAAGCGGGCTTATGCCATCGCCTCTGCGTTCGTCTGTCTGTCTGTCTGTCCGTTTCCCAAGAAGGACGTGAGTTAGGGGTTTGAATTTTCAGGGTATTATTGTTGTCACTTCTGGTCAACGAAACGGTTGGTGCAAATCCTGGCAACCACCCCTGAGTGGGTCTGAGGGGGTAACAACGAAATAGGAGTTGGTCCAAGAAGTGGAAAAAAAATATTTTTTTATGGTCTCCTAAGGGGTAACTCGTAAAAATAGAGCCCTTTAAGCGAAAATTTCGTCCGTTTGGCTCTATCTCTCACCGTTCAGGCGCTAAAGCGAGTTTCTCTCACGAAAGTGGCCCAAAAATAAATACAAAAATTT